TAGGTTGTCACTCAGTAAAATACAGTAACTTTAAATATTTTTTTTTACTAAAACTCTCCTTTTAATCACACTTTAAAAATTACAGATCACTAATGAGATTACATGTTGTAAGTAAAGAGCAAATTGTAATATGGATTTTAAATCCAATTATAGAAGTTTTAAGGCTTTTAATGCGGTTTTGATTTAAACGCATTTTGTTCAAACATCAGTACCGACTGACCATGTTAATTTATTTTAAATATTTATTATATAAAATATATTAAAACTTAATCCACACTCAAAGAATGTGTTCGACAACATCTTTTAAGTAGCTTGACAGACACCATTTTTAAGTAGCTTAACATCACTTATATAGTGTTTAAACTAATTTTTAGAGGTTAAGATAGAAGTTTTTAGACTTAATTTCAACTCATGGTACCTAAACTTATAACCCTATTAATATTGGAGTTTCCTTAGTTTTTAACTTGTTACGCAAATATAATATCAACTATTTAATTGTCGTTCAAAAAAATACATATATCAGTTACGCTTATAGTGTAGACATTTAACAAGGGAAGAGGAGAAGGATTTGCGATGAGAGCTGTTGAACAGTATTTAAAATAAATTTATTCTTTTGTACAGTAGAGTAACCATTGCATTTGTTACATTCAAGCAGTATACAAATGCCTTTGAAATGAAACCAAAACAGCATAAGGGTAAATATTTTTGAGGGAAAATCATTTCCGCAATTTTTTTTCCCCTCAAACACGGTTTCTACAAGAAGCCATTATTTTGTTTTGTCTGGATGAATGGGTCAAATTACATTTGACCAGGAGCGTATGTCAAGTTAGATGGTATTTTTTACTTTTCCCTTGACATTAAATGATTAATGTTTGTAAAACAGTTTAGCATTTACAATTACCTAAATTAAAATTTAAGCGTTTAATCTTATTTTGAAAGTTATTTTATTAATAGTATTAATAAATTTAAAGTCGCTTAACATTATAAGTGAATATTATTATTTATTTTATTTATTTTTACTATTAAATTATCATTCATAATTGAGTGTTTATCTATATTAATTGTAACGTGATCTGCTTATCCCTTAAATATTTCTTAATAGAAATGTTAGTTTATGATCATACTCGATTGGAATCATTTATAAATGCAAAATATATTTAATTTATAATTTTGGAAAGAAATGCAGCAGCGCAAAATTAAAATGTAATTCGTGAAACACAAAACTTAATAAACTAGCTCCAATGAGCAAAAAAATTAACCCAAACTTCCTTGCTCAATTGATATCAGCAAGTCCTTACACTTCTTTAATTAAAAAATATAAAAAAGAGACAAACATTCTCAAGGGGCAACAACTCTAACCCTCTTCCGCCTTTTTATTTTCGTTTATCCCACTACCTTACTTTCCACCATACCAAGCAAAACTTGCATTCCGAGTACCTTCCCCTATAAGGGCCACCAACTGCAGAGATAACTTTGATTTTTGGGTTAACTCGTCCATTTTCTTCCAAGGCACAGAAGGACGACCTTGAATGGTGAAGAGAAGCTCTCTCCTGCATTGCTGATGTTGCAATTTTGGATTTGACATGGAAAGTTGAGTCCAATGATCAGACTGAGCTGTTATTTTATTATATGTTGTGTTGTTGTTGTTGTTATTATTATTATTAAGCCAGCCATGATCATCATTCCAAAAGCTTAAGAAAGGGTCACAGTTCCCATAAATGCCTGAATTATTAGCAGTTTCCTCATTCTTTGACTGTTGGAGCTGCGGAATTGCATGAATTGGCCTGCCAGAGATCACAGTTACAGGCATGATGTTGTTTGTGTTGGTGGCATGGGCAGCTGTTTGGGCTTCCACAGGCTTTCTTGAACGATAGCGGCCTCTGTTCATATGTTTTTCGCAGTATTTTTGGTCCGCAACAGTATCCCTTGAGCATCGCCATTTCTTTCCATCTGTTCTCCGACATCGTCCAGGTTCAGAATCCCTGCTGGTGCTGCTGCCCATGTAACCTAGTCGGAGACTACTCCATCCCACTGCAGACACTTTCAAAAAACAAAGACTTAAGGTATGTCACTCAGTTACGCTATCATGGTTATTTAGTAAACCTCTACCTTTTTAATTCAATTATAATTTTTTTAATTCAGTGGGAGGCTCTAACAGGTGGAAAAAAATATTATTGACCGCACAGCAGGTTAATCATCCATTTACACATCAAATTAATAAAAACTTCTATAGTCGGGAGATTTTGAGTCTTTGACTCAAAGGCAGATTCAACTCAAAGAATTAAGGAGGTTAGACCGTAATTTTGATTAACGAGAGGCCAAATAAATTTTTTTCAACCTTTTTAACACTAAAAATTGATTTTTTTTTTTTTTTTTTTTTATATATTGGGGGCAAGGACCTCCTCTGGTCCCCATGTGTGCCCGTCCTTTCTTAAACTCACACCTCCACATAGACGAGACGACCAAGCAAAGCATACCAGATTAACAACTTAATTATAATTTAATTATTCCATTTAAAATAATACTGCTACTTTATTAAACAGTCTAAATCATTAACTAAATATTGACACTTGGTTAATATATACTTGAGATTAGTGAATTTTTCAATTTATTAACTAAATAAAGTCCTATTACTTGGTTGGTTTTCTAATTTACGTGAAAAGTAAGAAGTCTCGAATTTGAGCTATGTCGACTACAAAATTTTTCACCAATTTGGTGATTTTACACACATAACTTAATTAGTCCAACAACATGACGAATAAGCCAAAAGATCAGAAAAAATAAAGAAGAAGAAGCTTACATGAATTGGAAGGGAAGAATCCAGCAGAAGGGGCAGACAGGCCATACGGATGGGGGCGGAGGTTACTCTTAAGAGGTATGAGCAAATTATCAGGAACAGGAACACTTGCAGAGATATACTTGTAGATCAATGCTTGTTGTTTTAATTCCATCCTCTGAGATGCAGTAAATGCTACTGTCACTCCATTCAAATTTTCCCTACCGTAATCTGCAAAATAACATATATATACAACACTTTGTAATTTTCTTTAACTTGAAAAAAGAAAATCAAATTCAAAAATTGAAGACTGCACGCAAATGCATAAAAAATTTAAAATTCTAATTAATGAAGCTATTCAAATCTATGTTCTATGTGTCAATTTTACCAAACCTGCCATGAAGACAAAATGTGTCAGAATCTTTTAACAAATCCATTTTACAAAATCAAAGATGAAACAAATTAAACTCATTTACCAATTTTGAGTGAAACAAGTCAATTTAATCTTCTAGCTAATACAACGCATGAAATGCAGATGTTTTTGAGAAATTGAATGTGTCTATTTTTGACATACGTACCTATACTTCTACTATAAGAAGCAGATCGATAGTAAGGGAAGGCAGTGTAGCTTTGGCCACTTCTCTCCATTAACCCATCATCTCCATTCCAAAATGGAGAAGCTGATTCTGGTTTAAGTGAAGATGATGAACCAGAAACCAGAGAACCAGTAGGTGTTAACAATGGAGGAGCCCTGAGATGGTTCAATAGCATGGATTGGCTCTCTTGCTTAGCTAAACTAAATATATGAACCGTTTGATTGGCCTCACAAATAGAAGAGACTTGTGAAGAAGCTTCATTGCTATCCATATTAGGATTCATAATAGAGAAAATATATCTATTTAACAAGTCTGTATAAAGCTCATGCAAGAGAAGTTGGGAGTTGAAATTGAGGGAGAAGACAAAACACAGTCTTTAAATCTTAGATGTGTTATGCAAATATTTTGTCTGGATTTTATAGAAGAAAGAAAAGTATAATTTTGGTCATCTTTAAAGGCAAGATTCAAGTTACCATAATCTCCTTCGTTGGTAGACTTTCTTTCAATTTTTTAGGTTGTTTAAAATAAGTAACTTTAATATCTTTTTACTAAACTCTCCTTTTATCACACTTAAAAATTACAAAGCCCTCATACCATTACATGTGGGAAGTAAAGAGCAAATTTGTAATATGATTTAAAAATCAAATTATAGAAGTTTGAAGGCATTAATGCGATTTCGATTTAAATAGTTTGTTGTACAATCAATACCGGCTTACCATTTTAATTTAATTTAAAATAGTTATTTATATAAGTATATAATATTACACCCATACATAAAAGTTATATTCGGCAACAACTTTTTAAATAACTTAACGTCATTTTGCATGGTATTCGGTAACATAGCGTTTGAATTAGTTTTTAGAAGTTAATGTAACATTTTATAAATAAGTTAACTCATATAATGTTTAGTTTTTAATGTTTTATGAAAAACTACTAAAACAACTAACAACTAAAATACTACTAAAACAACTAATAGCTATCAAAACAACTAATTTTGTCGAACAAACCCAAGTTAATAATTAATTGTCATTTAGAAGAACTAAATATCATAAATTGCATATAAATTTTATTAAGTAACATATTGGTCATTTTACATTAAGTTATATATTAAATTTTACATTACATGAGGTTATTTGAGTAAATTCAGCTGTATTAAGTTGATTTAGAAATATATATATTTAGATTTGAAATAGGCCATTTGTCCTCTAATGTAACAGCAGCATCCGTTGGGGTTTACATTGGGTTGAAAATTACGAAAGAACCAAAGCTAGCAGTTTCATTTTTATCTGTCCCTATTAGAGAATTATGCCATTTGCAACAAAATAAATTTTAAGTATTTGGCAATAAAATCTATATCCATTATTGCTCCTTATCCTCACACTTTTTTCCCAATTCCTTTCGTGGGAAGCTCTTGCAACTTTTCTCATTTACATACATTTAATTTTGAGATTTTCTGATCAATTTTTTTTATATTTTACATTGAAAATATTTTATCGATTTTTTTAACTAATTAGATTTTGAACTTATAAATTCATAATATTCTTAAAATAAATTTATATTTATATTTATATATTTTTATTATTAAAAAATTAACACTCATATAGAAATCCAATAAAATTGACCATTGAAATTTATCAGTTGATACTTGATACGAAGTCGTTCTGACGTGTAAAGAGGATATGTTTTTAATAGGTTGCCAACCTTGCATCTAAGGTTCAGATTTGAAAAGGTCAATACACTGAATCTTAACCATTGTTTTTTTTTATTTATTTATTTTTTTTCACAATACTTTTTATTTACAGGTGGTGTCCATGCAATCACAAATGTACAACTTTATTTGTTAACTTAAGGCCAAAATTATTTATTTTTTGGATAAGCTCCAACCTAGCTTTTCCATTAATTAAATGCCAAATGCAACTAAAATTATTCAGATATTCAATAAAATCAAAATCAAGAACTAGGCCATAGTTAATTCCAAATGGATTAATTATTTTTTTTTTCCAAAATAAACATATATAGCATTAGAAATCCATCACCATTAATTTGTTGGTCACATCAGATCACCATATAATTATTCGTTATGATTTTGAAATGAACCAATGGTGAATGATTAGAATCACAAATCATGTATTATATATCACATGCTATAAAATTATGATTTATTAGCTTATAAAATATTTCTATTGAAAAATAAAAATAACTTGTCAGTTTGGAATTTTCCAAAAATCAAGTAAAAACGTACAAAAGAATAATTCCAATAAAAGCCTATTAATTCTCAAGTACTAGAGATCGAGTGATGTTTTTTTATATTTAATCTTCGTTGTACTTTAGTACTTAACTCTTTTCCCCTTTTTCCGACAAAATGTAGTGTGGTGGCAATTCTCAAATACTCTTATTGTAATATTTCTTTCTATTTTATTACAAATTGTTTTAACTTGTTTTGTGTAATGTAGATTGCAATTGAAGTAAAAAAAAAAAATAAAAATAAAAAGTAGAATTTAATGTTAAAAGAAAAATACAAATAGAAGTTAACTATGCTCTAACATTTAAATTAAAATTGCTATTTTGTAAAATTTAATTAATTAACTATTTCTATTTCGTGCTTTATTTTGTAGTTTGGATTTATTTTGCAAATTAGTTTATTTAGATTAGGCACATGTTCAATAGAATCAAAATATCAAGAATTAAGCTAGTTTCAAATTCATTAATTATTTTTCTTCTCCAAAGAAAAATTCATTAATTATTTTCTCTTTTTTTCAAAATAAAATACCATTAACAAGGGCATATATGAAAAAAAAAATCCAAAATCAATATGAAAAAAAAATATATTACAAAAAAAGTGTTTAATAAATGATGTCAATGTTTCTTTTGAAAAAGAAATATCAATGTTTTAGATATTGGAAAGGAATTCAGTCTCATAATAATTAGAAGGTTGCAGAGCTATAATTCGAAAAATTACATAAAAATAGTATTTTTGAATTATCTTGCATTTTTCGTTTCAATTTCTAGTAATTTTTCCACATTCTTATCTGTCATATCAAATTGACATATAATTGTTTTGATTTTGAATAAATTAATTGTGAATTATTAAGACAACAAATTTTGTATTGTATGTCATGTTATAGCCTGCCTAATTATGACTTGCTATTATGTAAAATTATATATGATATATTACCTTATGTAAAACTATGATATCTTACCTTATAAAATATTTCGACGAGTTTACATTTACTAAACTAAAGGTATATATAGTATTAACTACTAGTCTAATTTGAGAAATTTTTAGACATTGAAAGTGAATCGATAATCATAATTTTTAGAAACAATTATGGAAGTAAAATTGAAAAAATTTCAATTACATGCACATTTTTATGAATGATGTTTAATCACTTTGGACTTGCTTAATTTAACTATTATACCAGCTAATAATGGTTGTTAATATGTTATATAAATAAAATAACATTAATTAAATTTTAAATAAACTATAAATAAAATGATATTAGTAATTATTTTTCTAAGGTCAATGAAGTATAATATAATATAAATACAAATGATTTATAGGGTGAAAAAAAAAATTCCACAAGGTAGCTAATGTGATCAACAACTGATTAGAATTCAGTTGCTGATTAAAATTTTTATGAAATACTTATAATCTAGGTATTAGGCGAAATGAACTACCAACTCTATAAATCAATTGAACAAAATGCCACATTTTATCTCTTTATATTTCAATAATTAATTGTCTATGTTCTTAATTAAAGTATGGGGCTTTCTCCTATAAACTAAAATGATTTTTTTTTTTTGGTACTTATACCATTTGAATATCCTCTTAATTATTTTTTTTTCCCTTAAAAATGTGTACTTTTTCAAATTATTTTCAAACCAGCAATTGAATCAAATTGAGCTCAACCACTTTGGTTTAGTTTATTTTTATAAACCACTATTAATTTAGTTTATACCATTCTTTAATCCAAATCAAACCAAACCGTTAACACCACTGGCAATACGTTTCCTACCCCTAGCGACAACCAGACAACGTATGGCAGGAAGACCACTAGCTAGACAACCTATCGTTCAAAGACCGCCACTGGAGTCGTGGTTGAGAGAAACGACAGTCATTGTGAATGATATTACAAAAACGAAACGTGTCGTTTATGAACCCGCGAGTCAAAATGCGAATATTTCCTCCAGGAATTACTCCCGCCACACAATTATCACGCACGTCACTGAGTAATAGAAGAAGGAACAAGAAAGAAGCTGAGAGACTGAAAGCTAATTTGAAGAAGTAAGACAGCATGGCCATCGTGGCCGTGATATCCACAAAACCTCTGCGAGCTCTTTCGCCTTCTTCTTTTCCCTTTCTAAAAACTCCCAAATTCCCTTCCCAATATCCCTCTCACCCCACTGTTTACTCTCCAAAATCAACAAATGCTTCCACTCTCACTACCGCTTTTAATACCACCAAATCGCGTCTCGTATTGCGAGCTTCCGCTTCCGATTTTGGTTCATATATCGGAGAAAGCCTCGGTGATGTTACCATTTTCACCGCTGCCGGTGAGCCCGTCATGATCAAGGATCTGTGGGACCAAAACGAGGTAATATAAATTTTTATTATCGAACTGTTTATTCTTAACTAATAAACAAAATTCTTGAAATTATGGTAATTATTTGAACATAATAGTGATTTTTTTAAAATTAATTCTTGAAAATTTACAGGGGATAGCTGTTGTTGCGCTTTTGAGGCATTTTGGTTGCCCTTGCTGGTAAGTGAAATCTCCGTCTCTGCTTGTTTAAAGCTATAATCTGAATGTTGCTTTTGTGACTCAATCTTGAAAGTGTTATTTTGTTTGGTTTTGGCTAAGTTGGGAACTTGCTTCAGTATTGAAAGAATCAAAATCAAAATTTGAATCAGCTGGTGTCAAATTAATTGCAATTGGTGTTGGTGCGCCTAATAAAGCTCGCATTCTTGCAGACCGGGTATTCTTTATTTCTCTCTAATATACCATGAAAAAGTTTCATTTGGAGTGGTTTTGACGATTTAGAAGTTGTTTGGCAGCATCATTTGATGTTTTGATTGGGAAAAGCAGTTGGAGAGTGTTGTTTAGCTATTAATTTGAGTTTATGAAAAACGGTTGGGAGTGTTGTTTAGTTGTTAATTTGCGTTTGTGGAAACATGTTTGTAAGATTCAAATATCCGGCTACTACCACAATCATGTTTTCCATTTAAATGGTTGCATTTTTAGCTGGTAGAAACTAGAAACAGTGTCTGAGTCAGGTTTGCAATCTGTACATTTCAATTATTCAGCTTATACCACAACAATGTCAATAGTTTCCACGGAAAACTGTTCTCAGTTCATTCTTAAATTTTAAGTTTGCATTTAGATTTATTTTCCATTTAGTTTGTTTTGCTTCCTAAACTGAAGTTGTCAACATTCTTTCTCAAGAATGGAGATTCTTCAATTTTCCTATCATCAATGTCCAAAAAATTATCATTTTCTTTTGTCTTGAGGCTAGGAGTGAAGAATATTCAGGCTGCAATTCTAGCAAAGAGATGAGCCTATTTTTTCTTTTACCTGTTATTCTTGTTTTCTCATTAGTTTTTCATGGATGATGTATTATCAGTTACCATTTCCAATGGATTGCCTTTATGCAGATCCTGATCGTAAGGTAATGTGCTCATGTTGTTATAACATTTATCATGTATCTCTATTAAATGATTGTGTACACTGAAGAGCACTCATGTTGGTTCAGGCCTATGATGTCTTGGGGTTATACTATGGCTTTGGACGTACATTCTTCAATCCAGCCAGTGTAAACATTTCTTTCCTTGATTTCTGGAACACATGTCTCCTTCTATTTCCCTTTTAGGTGCTTATTTGCACTTGGCATGCAACCACGTGTTTGGAACAGGCTAAGGTGTTCTCCAGATTTGATGCTCTTCAAAAAGCTGTCAAGAACTACACCATTGAAGCCACCCCTGATGATAGGAGTGGTGTACTGCAACAGGTCTACTTCATTCATGTTACTTTATAGAAATATTTATAAGCAATTCTTTAGAAAAATGAAATTTATTCAGATAAATTGCTAAAGAATGCATAATCTATAGTTCCTTTATCAGGCTTGTTGACAAGCCTATGTAGTCAAAGCATGAGTGTGGTTGAGTTTGTCTTAAATTGATAAATAAAGAAGTCTAAGCTTATTGGGTAAGGTTCATTTGTACTCAAGATGGCAAGCTGTTTACAAAGCAAAGGTTAAGCTTTTCATTAACAACTAAGTTCAATTTAAAGCTTTTTTACCCTGTTATTCTTGTATCAAGTTTTGCTTTATTTTTTATAGGGTGGAATGTTCGTCTTCAAAGGAAAGCAGTTACTATATGCCAGGAAAGATGAAGGTACTGGCGATCATGCTCCCTTGGATGATGTCTTTAATATCTGCTGCAAGGTTCCAATTGCATGAAGTTCTGGTTTGGTGGGAGGTAATCCTTAAAAATAGGGTTATTCGCTGGTTGCACTAAAAAATATGCAATTATGCGTCCATCTCAAACTGGTGAGACTTCTTTAGTTCTTTTGACAGGTAAATTATAGTCCAGGGCCCCAGTTAAACACAAGTCTAAACTATACTCTGTATAGAAGGATTGCGGTCTGTATATATGAAATACTAGCCTTTTACTTGGTGTTTATAATTTGTTGTGTAGTTCAATTTTTCTGTTTCCTACATTTATTTACTCGTAACATAAATCTCTTCATCTGATTTTCGGTCCGATTTGAATCTAAAATCTTCTAATAGATATTCCAAATTTCTATGAGTGTCTTTGAATACACATCATACTTACTGTATCTGACAGTTGCTTGTTTTTATATATTTCTATAGCAATTCGTGCTCTTAATTAATTGAATTTATAAATCTTTCTCCTGTATAGAAATACAAATTGGGCTCCAAGTTGGTTGATATTTAAGAAAAAAAAATTGAGTTCAACAAATTTTCCAAGTCAGTTACGTTTCTGTTTTTTTTTTTAAGTACACATCCCTTAAAAAAAAAAAAGAGAGAGAGAGAGAAAGAAAGGAAATCACCAAAATGTCATGAAAATTGAATAGGTTCCTTCACAGATAATACCGAACAGAGATGGGAAAGCAGCATCAATGCAAGGATTTTGTAATTGTAACTTCAACAAAAATTGCCGGTTTTGTTGAAAAAATTTTGGGTATTATTTTCTTGTGCAATAAATATTTTTGATTAGTTTGATCCTAATTAAAAACATCCTTAAATTTAATTTGAATGGGTAGTTCAGTGGCAAATGCTATTTAACTTGAATGGATAGTTTAGTGGTTGATTAGTTTGCGGAGTTGATTAACTGTGACTAAGGTCATGCGTTCAATCATTCACAACACAAATTTTTCTCTATTTGAACTAGTTTTTTGCCTTCCAAAAGCGAGTAGATATTAGTTAAGTTTGTAGACCATTAAAATAATATAGATGTACCTGGTCCAAGCAAGATATGATTTTTATATAACCAGTTTGTTTATTTTTAATTGATTTGAAAACTATGATAATTATTTTTACAATATAATATTTTGATTTAAAATAGGTTAGATATGTGTTAAATTTTTTTAAATTTTTATCTTGATACATTGATAAGCAGCTTACAGTTGGTGGGATATCTAAGAGATAAAATAAATCAATTATGATAAGGATGATTAATAACTATTAAAATAATTAATTTTATTATTAAAATTATAAAATTTAAGAGTTAATAAAATATCTTGTACAACTAACGGATAAATAAAAGCTGACACACGGAAAATTAACTGCTATTAAAATTATGAATTTTTACGGATGAAGCTTAAAAAATTAGCTAATTTTATCCGACAAATGCAAAAAATATATATGTATAAGAAATATATTTTTCTAAGAGTGATCATTGTAAAACGAAAAAAATGGCAATACTTTTGCTATTGACTGCACAAGTACGCAGCCTGCCGTTCGAAAGACCACACTACCCGCGACTAATAGAAACGACAACGTTATTACAAACAGAAACGTGTCACACAAATATCACACATAATTGAATAATGTAAGGGAGAAGAAAGAAGCGCAGAGAATGAAAGCTCTTTTGAAGAAGAAAGTAAAACAGCATGGCCATGACCATGACCATGGTATCCACAAAATCTCTGCGACCTCTTTCACCTCTCTGTTTTTCCTCTCTAAGATCTCCCAATTTCCCTCTCTCCCTACTGGACACTTCCCAAAATCAACAAATGCTTTCTCTCTCACTAACACCACATCACGTCTCCTAATGCGAGCCTCCGTTTCTGATTTCGGTTCAAATATCGGCGAAATCCTCGGTGATGTTACAATTTTCAGGGCCACTGGTGAACCTGTCATGAGTTAAGGATCTTTGGGACCAAAACCAGGTTTAATTTTTTTATTACCAATAGTCTATTTTTAATTAACAAACAGTTAGTTTTGGAAAGAACGATAATTATTTGAGCAAAATAGTTTTTTTTTTTTCTGAAAATTTGCAGGAAATGGCTATTGTTGCGCTTTAGAGGCACTTTGGATGCTTTTGTTGGTAAGTGGTTCTCCAATCTCCATAGCTGCTATGTAAATTACAGTCAAATATCACACAAGTCTAAAATAATACCAGCCTTAGCCATAGAGGGATTATGTTTGTATAGAGAAAAGGAATATGTATTTTTTTTTTTATTTATTTTGGTAAACTATAATCTGATTTAGATTGCAAGCCGCAATTATTATTCCAATGCCACATTGGTTTGGAGAATCCTAATTAAGCTCTAATTCCTAGTATCTCTCTGCATCTTAATAGTGTGGATATAAAAGTTAAAAAGGGGAAATTATAGTTCTCTTATAACTCTTTCAATTCACATTAAAAGATAGTACGCCTATTATTTCTTCTTTAATGCTTAATTACTTTGTTTTCGCCATTGAGAGAGTGTAGAAATAGAAAAATTGATATCTATTTGACTATCTAAACTAAAAATTTGTTCAAAGTTAGCATAATGGAGATGGTATCAAATAACAAGGCAAAATTATTTGTTGGAGGAGTGAAGAGAGTTAATGAAGAAATGTTAAGACGATATTTTGGCAAGTATGGCCAAGTAAAAGAGGTTCTGATTGTGCTGGATAAAATCACAGGCATTAGTAGAGGTTTCGGCTTTGTCACTTTTGAAGATCCTTCGGCAGCTGATAAAGCCCTTCAACACCGCGACCACTTCATCCGTGGCAAGAAGGTCAGTTTCTACCATATTTTCATAAAGTAGTTATCTTTGTTTAATTTTTCTTTTCTTTGTCAATGTTTGGTCTTCGCTTGTAATTGAGCTGAGAAAACAATTATATATAAAATTGAATATGTAGAAAGAAAAAAAAAAAAAAAAACAAATAAGAGATGCAGCCACAAAAAACAAAACCAAGCCACTGTGATCACAAAACCCATTGAAATTGAAAACCTTCTGGTGTGAAAATCAATAGGATTAATAGTAGAAGCTGGTTCCTGACTAGCAATATCTTGACTGTCACAACCATCCGAACCCAAATTAAGATATTCTGGCGAACCATTGCTCATATCACTGTAGCTTCTCTTGGGAGGAGTAAGGTCTGCCATTTTTGAGCTTGCAAGATGAAAATTTTCTTATATAAACAACAGTGAGGAGAGTAGGAGAGTTATAAAAATTAACTGTTTCTATTGTAAAGATAGAAGTACTAAAATCAAAAGAAAGACAATAAACGTGAAGAGCTGGAGAAGGGAAACAATAATGGAGTTGGTGGGAGTTTATCACACACAGACACTGTAAAAGTGTGCAGATCAATAACGATTGAAGTAAAACAAAGAGTAAATTTGAAATAGGGTTTATTGTTGTTAGATTATTGTTTTGTTTGATGTAGTTTTGTATGATTATTATAACAATTAGTTGGTTTTGATTTCTATTCATAAGAATTTCGATTTATACTTTGTAATAGCTGGATTTAATTTGGACCCGACTGCTGAAATTAAAATTGAGGAACCATTAAATTAAAGTTTGAAAATCAAAATCTGACTCAAGTTTTGGCATACTTCAATTGCAAAGGCTTATATTAGGTTTTAAGTTCGATTTTATTCGCTAAAATTTACATAATTTATAATCTCTATCCAATGAATTGCCTTCTCATCAACTTATAATGTAATTTATGGTATTTGATTATAATGATAATTATAATTGAGGGCTAACTAGTAATTCGTCTAATTAGAATAATTGTATTAAATCTTTTTATGATTAAAACATTGGGAGAAAAATTGTTTCATCTTCTATCTTGTGACGTGATTCGATTTGACTAAAAAAGAAGTGTGCTTCTTATTTATTTATTCTTTGTCTATGAATATAAGTCTATAGAATATTTAGGAGTAATTAGTAATGTTTTTTCTAACTTATATTTATTTATATTAAATACAATAATTAGCTCTGTAATGTCTTATGATTGTTGTGGCTTAATAAATAGGTGGATGTGAAACCAGCAATACCAAAGAGACGTTCTAAACAAGAACAAGATAATGACGAAGATTCTAATTCTACTGAATTTAGAACTAAGAAAATTTTTGTAGGAGGTTTGCCACCTAACATTACCAAGGAAGAGCTCAAGAATTTCTTTGACTCTTTCGGTACAATCACTGATGCGGTTGTGATTCACAACAAATTAACTGGCAAACCCAGAGGGTTTGGGTTCATTAGTTTTGACTCTGAGGAGACTGTTGATATAATATTGCAAGAAAGATACCGTCAATTCAATGGTTACGTTGTGGAGGTTAAAAAGGCTAAATCTACAGATATGATGGGCAAGAATGATAATTACATAAATAATATGGGTTTTTATGGCAGTTATCCTTCGTATTATCCTTATTACTGGGATACGTATAATGCTCTTCCTTATTTCTATCCTGGTGGATCTACTCCTTTTGCTGGTTGGGTATTCCCTCAAAATTATTTGGAGGGTGGAGATAACACAAGTGCACCTTCAAATCAAGTGCAATCTTTGATCTCTGCTGGTTGTTGGCAATTCTAATAATTAATTACTATGGCTCATATTTGATTTTTTTTTTTTTTTGTTGATTCATTATCCATTCTGGTTTTAAATACTGGTTTAGTTGTTAGCTGTATTTGGACTTTTTATTGTAATTTGTTGTGAGTTTTAGGTGTTTTTGTACTGGTGACAATGGGTTTAATGTTTTGACATCATCACCAATATGTTGGGATTTAACCCATTAGTACTTCAATAATTTTGTTTCCAATATCATTTCTTATATTATTGTTTTTTTATTAGATGAGTTAATCATCCAATTGTCTAATTAGAATTTTTGACGATTTGTCTGTTATATGTTTATGTACCACTCCCAACTGTTAATTAATTAAGGTCACAATTTTTTATTCATTAATTAAGTTTAAAAATCATTTGATAATTAATTAAGGTTAATTTTAGTTGAGATTTTCATTTTTTTTTTTTAAAAATAATAAGAAAGAAGGTTTCAACAAGTTAATTTTGGTTGGTTGGTTGTACCCGTCAATTCTTTCCAAGTCAAATACAAAATTTTTTTCTTTTTAGTACAAAATACAAATTCACCAAAACGCCATAAAGAAACGACTTTCTGGGCCTAATTCCTTGATCTATCTTGAAGACAAAGCAAAAGTAGAAAGCAGTAACAATTGTATCATCAATCCATCTGTCTATCCTATCCAGTTTTATTATCCAATTAGACCTTATAGGAGACATGAAATCAAAGCCTCATCCTGTAATCAATATGGGTTAAAAGGGTTCAGATTCTTCTCTGAATCCAAACCCCACCAAGCAACCATATAATTATATATATATATATTGATTTCTTTGGCTGGAGAAACTTTCTCTGTTTGCACTCTCTTTCAGACAATGTAGGTGTCCTAGGAATGTGAGTATTTTAGTGATTGGCATTTCTTTTCTTATTTGGTCTTCAATAAGTGAATATTGGAGCCCATTTTGTTTTTTTTTTTTTAAAGCTTATTTTCCATATTTATCTTTTCTTTCTCCATTTGTTTTGCAAAATCTATCACTATATATTAGAAGTTTTATGGCTCTTTTCTTCTCTTAAGCAAGGCAGGGCTATAGTTTAGACTAGTCTCCAGCCCTTCTTCAGTAACATCAGAATAAAGAAATAAAATCTTTATTCAATTTAAAAAGAAAAAAGAAATGGGTAGCTGTTGCAGTGACCGAAGTAGCTCTAGAGGGAGAGAATCTTGTTTTTGAATGAGACATGTCAAGGGGAGAGAGAGAGAGAGAGAGAGACCATCACTGCATGACATATCAAAGAAGAGAGAGAGAGAGTATAATTAAAGAGAGTAATGAGGTTAGAAATTTGCAGAGGAAATGGCAGGAGAAGTTTTAATAGATAGGCACTTTGTTATAGTGAGCGAGTGACAATTAAAATAAAAATATAATATATCTCTAAAAAAGGAAAAAGCAAGGACGACCTTTTTAATCCCATGCATACAGCATAGCACAAAAACAGCTCTGTGGTGTGGTCTCTCTCGGTTGGGTTGCTAACCATAATCTACTTTTTTCCTGTTGACCCCTGTTTGTGTTTGTGTATTTTCTCCATTTCTTCATTGTTGTTTTAGATTTTCCTTGGATTTTCTGTTTCCATTCCAAATACCTATCTAATCCTTTCTCATTTAATGACTCTATCTATCTATAATATATTATTTTCATTAAAAATTTTATGTTGATTGATCTCTTGTCTTAATCAAAATTTTTAAATTACTGCTCCAAGTGTTATATTTACCTATTATTAGAAATTGACAATTATACATGCCCCCTCATTTAGTTTTAAACGATGAAATGTGATTTTAGTTATTGTTTTTTTGTTAGAAAATTTTAATTATTGTTATTAGCACTAAACTACATACATTAAGAATCAATTAGGATTTGAACTACTAGTGATAATTCAGCCCCAAGCTGATTCGTCAAATTGAATAATGCTTAAGTAATGGTATTTAAGAAATGTTAAAAATTTGTTAATTAATTTAGAGTATTTAGATAATTTTAAAATAAGGGAAATTTTCATTTTGCTCCAATATTTTTTTTTTTTTTTTTTAAATTGAAAAACTCCAATATTTTTTTTTTTTTTTTTTTTTTGAAATTGAAAAATATATTGGTCGGAATGAAAAAATAAGTGAAACATTACTTTCTTCAATACTTGCTTTCTTTTTCCAAACAAGGAAAAACACCTCTCTTTAGATATTTTCCATGATAACTTTCTTTATTGCAACATCCAAACAAAGGTTAATAATGTCTAATTAATTTTTGTTTAAAATTAAATTTTAAATTAATTTAATTTAATACAAACTATTTTAGTTTATGATCAATTTTTATCTATTTTTTATAAAAATAAAAGTTCAAATTTTTTAATTTTGAAATATCTTTAAATAATAATAATAATAATAATAATAATGTAGTCACTTCTTCAAGTTAATTAATCTATCAAATATTCTTAAAAATAAGCTAAAATTTCTAGAATTGGTCTTACACATATGGAACATAAGTTACAACAAAAAAACAAGAAACAAAAGTGTGATAAAATTGACATCCCATATAGAAGTACACAAAAGGTCATATACTAAGAAACTCCAATAAGCCGGCCAATCAAGAATATGCAACAAGCAATTAAGCATATTCTACATCATAGTCCAAACTATAAACAAGAATAATGATTATTCTATTGTGGATTTAAAAATGGTAACCTCTTATTCTTATAAATATGTTCAGGAATCATCTAATTTTCAAAAGCAAAACTATTAGAAAAAAAAAAAAAAAAAAAAAAAAAAAAAAAAAAAAACATTATGGATGGCCGTAAAGTTGTGTTTAATCACCGGAAAAAAAAAAAAAAAAAAAAAAAACATTATGGATGGCCGTAAAGTTGTGTTAATCACCGGTTGTGCTAAAGGAGGCATTGGTTATGAATATTGCAAGGCATTTGCTGAGAAAAATTGCCATGTCATTGCTTCGGACATTCCTCAACGCCTCAACGATATGTTGGACCTCAAATCAGACGACATGGATACATTAGGGTTCGATGTTTCATCTGATGAGAGTGTATCATCAGGTGTGAACACTATTATATCAAAATTTGGCCGAATTGATGTATTAATCAACAATGCTGGAATAGGAAGTACAGGGCCATTGGCAGAGCTTTCACTAGACACAATTAGGAAAGCTTGGGAAATTAACACATTAGGGCAATTAAGATTAATACAAAATGTTGTGCCCTATATGGCATCACAAGGCAGGGGTAGTATAGTAAATGTAGGAAGTATAGTAGGAAAGGTTCCTACCCCTTGGGCTGGGTCTTATTGTGCTAGTAAGGCAGCTGTGCATGCTTTGTCTAACACTTTGAGACTCGAATTAAGACCTTTTGGAATTAATGTGGTGCTAGTGGTTCCTGGTGCCATAAGATCAAATTTTGGTAAAGCTACATCAGAAAAATTGGGAAATTGCGATTGGAAATTATACAAAGATTTCAAGGAGGCCATTGCCGAAAGAGCTAGAGCTTCTCAAGGTGGAAAAGCTACTGATGCTACAATATTTGCAAGACATGTAGCCAGCAAGGTTTTGAGTTGTAAGCCACCAAAACAAATTGTATTTGGTCATATGACTGGTTTGTTTGCTTTGCTTTCTTGGTCTCCCCTTTGGGTTAGAGATCTTTTCTTTGCCACTCGTTTTAATGTAAATAAAAGGGTCTAAAACTATTGCTTATCAATAATATGGAGACTGCAATATGTTTTCTTTTTTAAAAATACCCTTTCAAATAAACATTACAAATACTTGGAAAATGTTAGTTTTTGAATGGTTATGATTGAAAAAATATTAAATATACTTTTTTTTTTGTTTTAAAAATTAATTTTACATAGCTTCTACTCAGTATTATTTAATGTTAAAAAGATCCTTAAACAGTGTCTCTCGTTGAAAAAGAAAGTACGATAACAATAAGCAATAGATATATACCTTCTCTAGGTAGATTATAGATAAATAATTGTAGCAATCAAATTGTGTTCGCGTTCGTGAACGAATGATTGTTAGATGAGTAATTATTAGAGAGACTCCCTGCTCTACGTACTGCCATCTTATCTAATAGAGAATAAAAATCAGATAAGCTCTATTATTTGGGACATAAAAATCTTTCAAGATAGCTTCACTGCTTGAACAAGAAAGAAAGTTTTGCCAATTTGAAGCCAATTTGTCTACAAAGACAAATTGTCGACGAATAGTCCACAAAACCATTAAATCAACTAAATTATAATTTTAACCCTTTTTTTATTTATATTTACAGAAACAGGAAAAAATCATATGTATTCCTTTGCAATGAAATACTACTGTGAGTCAATACATAATTTACGTGCTAATTTTTATAAAAATAGCAGTATCAACATGTTTATATCATACCATAAACTATCCAAGGCTGAGTAGTTTTTGGAAAAACTGATTCAAATAATCGTTTGATTTCGGTTTCTATTTTCGATTCGATTTTATAAAAATCATAAAACTAACCGATTTAATTCTAAAAATTAATCAAATCGAAGCAAACCAATTAAATTTTATTTAATTTAGGCTAGTATACAATTCAATTTGATTCGATTTTTCGTATAAAATTCAATTTATTTGGTTTCTATTCAATTTGGTTCCAACAGAATAGACTGCAATCCTTTCTCTTGACATAAAATAGCCCAAATCTAATAGAGGATAATTCAAGTGTAGAAACGTGTTGTAAAGGGCAAAATGGTCCGTTAGCAGCAAGGACAATTGAACCAAAACCACAAATCTAAGGAAGGGTAAATCTGACAGGCTCTATTAAAAGCAGACAGTGAAGAGAAAAGAGGCAGCACCAACCCAATGCATCCCCATCTTGCATCCCACCAAAAGGGTGTTGAAAATGAAAGAAAAGCAAATTTTGCTGAGGCAATAAACAAAGCTCTTTTGTTAGGGCCATGCACTATTTCTAGCAAAATTTCATTGGCCCCAACTGCCCTTTGTGGGTGGATTTATTCATCATTACTTCAATCAAAAAGAAATTCTTCACTACATTCCCTTCACTATTATATATTCCTCCATTTTCCACCCTAAAACTTCCCCCCACTGTTCTTTTCAAAACCAAATCATTTCCTCTGGAAAATCTGTCTCCATGAACTTAGGTCATGCAAAATTTTGCATGCAAATATATCTATTATGTATTATTCTGAAATGGGTTTTCCTTCTTCTGTTTTTCTTTTCGGTTTTGGGTTCTTGGTTTTTGGTTTTTAGGTCAATTATTATCAGGGTCCTTCCTCCTTTCTCAAATCTCGAACCCAAACCCAATGCAACCCATTAATGGAAGAGAGAATTTATTAGTGTAATATAGTAGCATTATAGAAAACGATGAAAATGTCAAGATCAATGGAAGAGAGAATTTATATATATATATTTTATTAGTGTAATATAGTAGCATTATAGAAAACGATGAATGTCAAGATCAATGGAAGAGAGATTTATATATTATATATATATATATAACTTATATATATATTTTTTTTTTTTTTTTTTGGTTCAAGTCATTGTCTCTGCTCTTCATAAGTATTGGTTGATTAGATTGAATTCTGAACAAACAATTTTTTTTTGGTCAAGTCATTGTCTCTGCTCTTCATAAGTATTGTTGATTAGATATGAATTCTGAACAAACAAAGGAGCGCATTTAAGTCTTTGAGTTACCTTGGATTCATTGGAACATTACTTAGATTAGTAATATATATTTTCTAGAAAACATATAATCATAATTTATGATTTATTATTATTATTATTACATTCTTTTTTATTGTTACTAGGCAACGCAAGGATAGAAAGGCCCAGCAACTCAGACAGACAAAAACGCAATCCCTGCAAAGATCTTTAATTTGGACATCTTTTAATATTTTTGGCTTCAAATTTTGTCTTGAAGGAATTAAAAACCTAAAGTGGTTTTAGCAAAGTGCTTTTTCAGTCTCATTACCCTTTAATGATAAGTTAGTACAAATATAAAATGTATATCTCACAAAAAGCATGTTCCTTAAGGGCCCTTCACATCTATCATTCCAAGAATATTAACTTTGAGTCATCCATGGATGGCCCCTTGCAATGAACTAAATATCACTTTGTAGCCATACCCACTTTCTTTTTTTTTTTCATTTAATTTAATTAATTAATTCAAAGAGCTAGCTAAATAGCTTGCATGTCCAAAATCCTCTTTGGCTTTCCTTCTTCCATAGTGTGTAAGCGTCCCACTTCTCCCTTTATGTCTGGAAGATGGAGTTGACTACTACATCCACATTCTCCATAAGAGCATATCCAAAAAGAAATGAAAACAGTCTTTTTTTTTTTTTTTCAATTATTCACATCAATAATTCAATTAATTTAGTGTCTTAATTATTTCTTGCAACTTTGGCCCATGTTTGATCTCATCATTACTATGTTAAGACTGCTTTAGTTTAAAGAATTTTTTCTTTTAAAAAAAAAAGGAAGTGATAATACTGTAGTATAAAAATGTCCATTTTTAATATATATATATATATTGGTTGGAATTGGATAGACAGACACAGACTTATTGCAAAGTATCGTATTCATTAAAGAGGGCATGCAACCCAAGAACGTGCATTGAATTGAAAATGGAAGTTGTTGTAGTACACTGGAGGCACATAATTTAGCCATTCAATTCTCTTCCTAAAATAAACAAGGATATAGTTATACTTAGTATGTTGAATGAAACTACCAATCTCACGTCACCTGTTGATGTTTAGTTATTTTATGTTGAATCAAAGCTACCCATGTCATGTCACGTTTAAACATTGTTAGGATTTAAATTTCTAATTCTTTATATTTCGAGATAAATGTGTAAATGATAACCAAAAGTTTATGTAAAATGGCAAAAAAAATTCGAACTAAGCTCAGAGCAATAATGTACTTGTTAAGGTTAACCCTCTGTCAAAGACAATTACTTGCATAGGACAAGTATAAGCAAGTCAAAAGAAAAATGTGTGACTTGCCAACACTTTGCCGTCGAGTCCTCCAAGATCATTGATGAAGAAACGGCGTCGTGTCTCTTCTCGTCCTAGTTAGGCGGTGGTGGTGGTGGCAGACGTATAGCAATAGCATAACCCCTAGAGAGCTTTTCAAAGTAGGAGGCCCAGTACAGAAGCTATATTGTATTTGAAGTGACTAGATAGACTCTTTGTCTTGCTGCCTGTGACCCTCAGATCTTTTGGAGGTCCATAGATAGATATTATAATAATAATACCACCATTGTCTATTAAAACAAAACAAAAACCAAGTACCTGATTTTATTGGAATAAAATGTCAATCCAATGCATGCATACTCGTATTAGTGTCTTTTTAGTATTATCCAAGTCGGTAATGAAAAATTTTATATATTAGAAAACCAACAGACCGAGGCAACAATAGAAGTAAATAATTTACAACCCTATATATCATTTAAAAGTTATTAGAAAATGTTCTTAAAGTAAATCTTTTATCTTATAAATAAATTTAATGCGTTTATCTTTGTTTTGATAATTATACTTTAAATATAGAGAAATTATAAAAATTATTTATCTCCTTTTAAACTTGCTTTATTTAATTTATGCTTTTAATCAAAATGAATATAAAAAGAAGCACTATAATATCACTTCACAGTTAAACAGATAAAAGAAAAGCACTAGTTCAATAAATAGAACAAATAAAAGCAATTAAGAAATATGGCGACTTGGTTAAAACCGCTGGGTTTTGCAATGTCCTGAGTAGTCCTATCCACATGAGAAAATGAGGTTGCTTAGCATTACTAGTGTCTAGTGCTACTATACTTTTGTCTCTGGTGTAGGTCTTTTCTTTCTTGGATTTTTAGTAAGGATTTAGTTTTATTTAACATTCGAAGGGTTTGGAGTCTTAATAAATAAAGAAAAAGAAAGGAAGAATGGAGGGAGCGTAGGGTAGTAAAGCAAAAGAGAGAAAGAAAGAAGGGGTCTTTCTCAAACACAGATCCCTATGGAATGCAGGAAGGATACCCAGCATTGCTTGCTGTAACTCATTCTTTTTGTTTAGTTTAAAGGAACTTGCTTTGTTCTCATTGGAGATCTTTTCAGAGAGAGGGAGAGAGAGAGAGAGAGAGAGAGGAAAAAAAAAAAGAAAAGAAAAGTAATATCGATTCAGTTGCAGCAGAGTTGGATTTTGTTTTAGCTATGAGTGGTTATTAGCTTTGATCCAATCCAAATTTCTGCAACTAAAGAACAAAAGAAAAAACTCGAAACCCAGTTTGAAAAAATGGAGCTCAGCTAGTGAAATCCAAGAAAAAGAAAGCGAAAAAGAAATATATTTGCTTATGATTAGTTTATTTTTACTCAATCATTGACTTGCTTTCCTCAAGAGAAAAAAAAGATGAAGTCCATAAACAATGATGATGATAACAATAGTAATACTCACTGGTTAGGTTTTTCCCTTTCGCCTCTTCAAATGAAAATGGAGATTCCTTCTACCTCTGCTGCTTCTGTTTGTGCTTCTGCTTCTTCTATTTCTGTGCCTACTGCAATTCCAGCAAGTTTCTTCCAATCAAACATCAATTATGGGAGTTACTGTGCTGTAGAAGGCGAAAATGGTGGGCTATACTCTTCTTTACCTGTTATGCCATTAAAGTCAGATGGGTCTCTTTGTATCATGGAAGCTCTTACCAGGTCACAGACTCAAGGTAGCTTCATAAATTAATTTAGGCTTAAGTTTTTTGTTTTGGGTTTTATCTGTTTTTTTTTTTTTTCTAAAGATTTTGTTTTTTTATACATGAAGCAACATTGGCGGCAACAACCTCAACTCCAAAACTGGAAGACTTCTTTGGCGGTGCAACAATGGGCACCCATCATTATGAAACTACTGATAGAGAAGCTATGCCTCTTAGCTTAGACAGCATGTATTACAACCATAATGAACCCAACCACCAAAATTGCCTAAGTCATCTTCATCAGAACCCCAGACACCAGAATCATCAGATTCAGGTCCAGCACTACCCATATTATAATAATAATACTAATTTTAGGAGCTATGACATGTTAATTGGAGAAGAACCCAAAGAGAATCAGGTTTCAGATTCTAATGTTCAGATTCAAAATCTTGGGGATGATACTCTAAGTGGAATGAGAAATTGGGTTTCAAGAAATTATTCAAATAATCAACATGCAATGGAGCAACAAAAGATGATAAGTTGCATGGGCGACAGTAGTGGAGGTGAATCTGGGGCTATTAGTGCAATGGCATATGGGGATTTGCAATCTTTGAGCCTGTCTATGAGCCCTGGCTCTCAGTCAAGCTGTGTTACTGGTTCACAACAAATTTCACCTGCTGTGACCGACTGTGTTGCCATAGAAACCAAGAAAAGAGGGCCTGATAAGGCGGAGCAGAAGCAAACTGTTCATAGGAAATCTATTGATACATTTGGCCAAAGAACTTCACAATATAGAGGTGTTACTAGGTAATTAGTATTTCTTTATTTCATTAATCCATTAATCCATTTTTTAATTTATGCTTCTCGAAATGAGCTTCTTATATATATATTTTTTGAACTACATGTAATGAGAGCTTTTGTTTGTAATTATTTTTATTTTTTCTCAGCTATTTCTTTCCTACCTATTCTTCGGGTTGGTTTTGTTTTTGTTCCTTGATTTCCTATCATTTTCCTTGAAACTTGTTTTCTCAATGAATTTTTGTTAAACAGGCATAGATGGACAGGAAGATATGAAGCCCATTTGTGGGACAATAGTTGCAAGAAGGAAGGTCAAAGCAGAAAAGGAAGACAAGGTTAGTTATAGAAAGCATATTCTATTGGAAATTTCTCTTTAATTCTTTTTTTTTTTATTTTAAACTCTACTCATAATAAAATATGAAGCTTATTTTATTTTATTTTATTTATTTGCTTGGCTTGGCTGTGGATGTCATTAAACAACGGTGACCTCAGTTTATCTGGGTAAGCAAATTTCCTTAAAATGATCAAATATTTTTAAGCTATATTGTAAAAAATAATGTATCAAGAAAATCCAAAATATATATATTCAGGGGGTTATGATATGGAAGAAAAAGCTGCAAGAGCTTATGATCTAGCTGCACTCAAATATTGGGGTCCCTCTACCCATATCAATTTCCAGGTAACTATTCTAACATTCCTTTTGTTTCCAACATTATAAGGGGATTTTTTATTTTTGCAATATTTATTTATTAAAAGCCAATTTTGCTATTGTTGTTTGGTCAGTTGGAAAATTATCAAAAAGAACTAGAAGAAATGAAGAACATGACCAGACAAGAATATGTTGCTCATTTGAGAAGGTCAAAAAATTCTTTTTTGCCTTTCTTTATTGTCTCCTACTGCATGCTTCACGCCATTTTTGTCCAGAGAATCTTATTTTTGACTTTGATCTTTTTCTTCTAAGCAGGAAAAGCAGTGGATTCTCTAGGGGTGCTTCTATGTACAGAGGAGTAACAAGGTCCAATAGTCCTCTATTTCACATTTACTAAACACATATAAAGATTTTCACTTTAATTAATCTTCCCCAAATTGTTCAAATTTTGTTTTCAGACATCATCAGCATGGAAGATGGCAAGCTCGAATCGGAAGGGTCGCCGGAAACAAGGACCTTTATCTAGGAACATTCAGTAAGTTTCTTTAAGTATAAGTCAGATTTTGACTTTAAAAAGCAACTATATTGATTTTAAGTTCTCTAATACTAATCATAAGACCTATTAGTAAGTCATTGATGGTCTTTAAACTCTAGGCACTCAAGAGGAAGCAGCAGAAGCTTATGACGTAGCAGCAATAAAATTTCGCGGGGTCAATGCTGTAACCAACTTTGACATAACAAGATATGATGTAGAGCGAATCATGGCCAGTAATACACTTGTTTCAGGAGAAGTAGCAAGGCGAAACAAAGATGCTGGACCGGTTAATGAAGCTACAAATCATTCAACTCATAATAGCTTTAGTGAAGTGATTCCTGTGCAAAAGAACAATCAAAGTGAATCAGATTGGAAAATGGCTCTCTATCAATCTGATCAAAAGGCATCGAATGTTATCGATAATTTCAAAACTCAGATCTTTGAGAATGTGACTGGAATTGATACATTGAGCTCCATTCATAATCAACAAGTGGAAGAGTCAGGTAAGATCGGAACTCACTTGTCAAATGCTTCTTCATTGGTTACAAGTTTAAGTAGCTCAAGAGAAGGTAGCCCGGATCGAGCTAGCATGCCTATGCTGTTTGCAATGCCTCCTTCAGCAACTTCCAAGTTGTTCAGTAATCCATCTAGTAACGAGATTTCTTGGATCCCAACAGCAGCTCAACTTAGGTCTGCAGTATCATTGCCTCACATGCCTGTTTTTGCTGCTTGGACAGATGCTTAGCTTAGGCTAATTGTATTTAGCAAAAGTGGAGAAGGTTTTTTGCATGGAGATCAAAATTAAAAAAAAAAAATGAGAGATAGAAAAGTAAGATTGGTTATTTTGTGGGTTTTTTCTTTTTTTGGCTTTTCTTTTCTTTAGCTAGTGGAGAAAATTGGAGGGGGAAGGGTGGCTAATGGAGTTGTAGGTGGCAACTTTTCATGAACAAGAACCTCAAATTTTCAACACTTTATCCTTTTAATATATAAATAGTGTCTCTTTCTGTTCTTTGGTTAATTGAACTCTTGGAATTTCAAACTCTATTCCCATTTCCCACAGTACTGAGAACCAACTCGGAATCTCAGAGTTCTGAATACTGACTGCAGTGTTGGTAAGTTAAAAAATAACTCATTGGCAAATAGTCTTCTATCTTCAAAGCAATGGAAGGAAGCTTTTTAAAGAAAATTATATATATATATTGAAGAGTGGGGAATGATTTTGCAATATGGGATATGACCCCTCCACTTCATAATTAGATTCAGCTTTTATTTGGTTCTTGTAAGTACACAGCATAGCAGAAATGATCTCTTTTGCTTTGAGCCTTTGACCATATATAATATTATATATATAATCTCGTCAAGCCATTATTGTTCTCCATGAACATAACATCATCATTACTAAAACCTTTTTATTATCTAAGCTTTCTCAAAAGATAACATAACATAACATTCCATGTCAACAGTGCACATAATAAAAAAGAATAAAAGGATAGAGTAAAGATGGACTGTAGAGGTGGAAAAAAAGGATTGTGGTCGGGGGTTTCTTGGGCAATTTTAGTTGTTCTAATAAAACAGTTGTTCATTAATGATTAACACTTAGTTGTTAAGCGCTTTAGAATAAAAGTGTTCTGTTTAAATAACTATTTGATTAACTATTTAATATAAAATGATAAAAAAAAGTAGTGATGAATATAAATGTCATAAAAAAATTATAAAACGCTAAAAGCTTAATGAAGATAACGTTTCGTGAAATACCGTGTCAAATTTAAAAGGTTAGGGTTAATATTATATTATCAAATGTTATAATAAATTAAAATAATATTTTAATCTTATCAAAATACTAAATACTACCTCACATGTTTGAAGCCGGACATGCTTTAACATAGGTTTTAGGTTTTTGTGATCCAATGACCCATAATTGTATGCATGAATGTGTGTTTGTTACGGTTACAGTGTGATCACAGAGTTTCTTTCTTTCATTTTTTTTAGAACCCACCAAGTTAAATTCACACTTCACAGTCACAGGCGCAGGCTAATGATGTATGGGCATAAAAGCTATGACATGTGCCTATATGGGATTTCTATGACCGGTCAAATACTACACCTTTGTGTTTTCTGTTCACACATATATGTTGTGCTATGATTTTTCTTCTTATGCACATGTGTGGCCTCTAATATATGTTCTTCAACCATCATGTGGTTCAACTTTAAAGAGGAAAATCCTGCAAAGCTTTTGTAGGTTTTTTCTTTCCTTGTAAATAAGACACTAAATCATAGGCCGGTTATCCTCTCATTAGGCATGGTGGGTTCATTGAATCGCCAGTTTAAAATTTTAAAATATTGAATTTGAATTGCTAGTTTCGGTGCGATTCCGATGAACCGACGGTTTCGATCATGGTTTTCCGGCAATATATATTTAAAAAAAAAATTGATTCTAATGTTATATCTTTGTTCCAAAAATATTGATATGAGTTTAAAAAATATTGGTAAATTTTATTTTAAATAAATTTTAGAATGCTCATATTCATATAAAAATCAAATTAATTAATTTTACAAAATAATCAAATAAGTTATCACTTTATTTTGTTTAAATGTTATTAATTAAATTTTGTTTAAATTTTTATTAATCCGGAGAATAAATTAATATTATAGAAAATTGATTTCTGAAAAAATGCTTCAAAAGAATGTAATTTAAGCTTAAGTAAACAATTTTAAAAGAGTAAAAAATAAAATAGTTATCAACATATTTAAGTTTATTATCTTAAATATTTCTTCTCTCTTTTTTTACGATTTTAGTTCTTTTTAGTATTTTTCAACTTTTAAAGTGAGAGCACTTTTAAAGTAAAGTGTATTTAAAAAAAAAATTTTAAGTAAAGTATATTATGTAGTACAATATTGTTGAGACTTTTAGAGATATATAGAATAGGTTAAGTATTTATCATTTTGAAAATAAAAATAGAAAATTTTCGATTCGAACTAGATTAGAACTGTCGGTTTAGGTTTAGATTTTAATATTTACATAAATCTAAAATTTTAATTGATTTTAATTGATTATTATCTAAAATTTTAATTGATTTTGGAACCTTCGGTTCCGATTTAAAATTTTAAACTGACGGTTTCAATTCGATTCTGATTCATCTAAAATACAATTTGATTTCGGTTCAAAATGAACCCGTAGCCATACTTACGTCTGGTTGTTTTTTTGATACATCCCAAAAAAATTTTCAAACAATGGACACAACTAAAATATCCGATATCTTTTTAACCATAAGATTGAAATCAATTTTTAGCTATTAACCTGACAGTAACGTGTCATCGTTTTTCATTAAAAGATAAAAGAGTTAATGGACGATACACTTTCTCTTAATTTCTTTTTTTTTTTTTTTTTTTTTTCATTAAAAGATAAAGAGTTGAGAGTGTGACGATTACACTTTTCTCTTAGAGTTTCTTGTTTTTTTTTTTTTTTTTTTTTGAGAGAATAACTTATTTATTGAAAATTCTTTTCAACGAGTTTATCTTCCTGTCAGACTTTCATTTTTTTTTTTTTTTCCATAATTTGACAGTACAAAAAGTTACAATTGGAGACTTTTTTTTTTTTTTTTTTTTTTGGAGAGAATAACTTATTTATTGAAAATTTCTTTTCAACGGAGTTTCTCTTTTCACTTCATTTTTTTTTTTTTTCCATAATTTGACAGAACAAAAAGTTACAATTGGAGACTTTACAATTGAAAGATGGATTTTGAAAAAAACAGAATCAGACTACAGGCATGGAACCTTTTATACATTACAAGATTTAACACAGTTAGAACAATTTAATATGGGTTGCTAAAGAAAGATACAATCTACCAAATAAAATTTCTTGGCCATGTGGAAACAAGCTAGCTCGCATAGTTACTTTTTCATGATCATGTGAATGCTATTGATTTCACCAAAATCTCCTTTTTCTTTTTCACTGGCAAGCATGGAACCACATAATTGCTTTGGTTTTTCTAAAGAAAGATCAGCTGTAATCTTGGCGGGAAATTGAGTTTCAAAAGCATCTTTACAATGTCCTTAGGATTGAAGATTAACAATAGCTGCATGTTTTTGACTGGTGAGTTGCTCTACATTTTTTAGCATTGAAGACTTACAATTTATTACCAAATCCAAAACATCTAAAAGGAAAATCCCAACAACCCATTTGCTGGGCACACACATTTTGACATATTTAAGTAGCTTTTCTTTCTGATGTCAAAAATAGTGTTATCCCTGTTAATTAATCATAATCTTTGGACTTAATTGGTTACCTTTATTCTTGTTTAGTGGAACTGCCTTGTACGTATCTAATTAGAAAATTAGTAAAAGTAGTTGCATTATCCTTTTCTGTGAAGCTTTTTATTTAATATATTTTTCTTAATTATTGATTTTTTTTTATTGATTGTACCTCTTAGTTTATCGAAATGTTAAAAGTGGAAATAAAAAGTTTGAAATTTAGATTTTTTTATTATAACAATTTTCACTAATTCAGTGATGTTAAAGAATCTATTTAGCTTCTCTTTTATTAATAAATAACAATTACGTCGCACTCAAATCCCATAACTTTGAAATAATTATGAATTTAAATGCTATTTTTTTGTTTTTGAAGGATAAAAACCAAATCATATTAAGAAAATAAGAATGAAATGCAATCAAAAATAAAATCTCATTATTTGATATTAGCATATCAGTGAGAAGTTTTTGCTAGAGTATGAGCTTCAATATTAGCTTGTCTCTTTAACCGTTGAATGACAATATCAATTTAAGTAGTTTAATGCGGTGTATTTGGAATGTTATATATATTCTTAATTCTTTAACAGGATTGAACCATGATCCATAGAAAATGAAAAGTCTCGTACATGTCTATTCAACTAATTTCGTTTCGTCAAAATGCTCTGAAATTCCTTATCAATATATCAAATCAAACCTAAATGTGCATGGCTTTATCAGGCGATGGGTTCAACCATTTCCCATTAAGATCATTTTAGAAATCAAAATAGAACTTAATTGCGTTATCATGTCAAATATTTGCATTTTTGTTTTTTAAGCAGTGAGAGGAGCAGAACCTCTAGTTAATTTTTTTATTTTTTTAACCAAATGAAATTTGAACTCTAAAATTAATTAATATTTTTATGTTTTGTGATTTATAAGTAATTTATTATTTATCATTTAAATTCATAAATTATATGAATCCACTAACTCAATTTGAAAAAAAAAAAAAAAAAGTAGTTTAAATTTTTTTTCTTATGTTTTTTAACCAAATGAAATTTGAACTCTAAAAATTATATAATATTTTTTATGTTTGTTGATTTATATTAAGTTAATTTATTATTTATCATTGAAATTCCATATTAATATGAATTCCACTAACTCTATATTTGAAAAAAAAAAAAAAATAAAGTTTGTTACGTGGGTTTATGGCTTGAGTTTTCATAATATGGAAGAGAGTAATCCTTAGTGCCTTCTATCATATCGGTCAACACATATGATGATGTACAGACATTAGTCTCTCATAGCAAAAAGCTGTGAATAATAAAATAAAGTGTTATGGAGGGCTAAATTAAGAGGCAAAAAATAGATTATGAGGCGTAGTTGTCTATTTTTGATTGATTATTAGAGTTGTTGTCATTTGAGAAAAAAGAGAAAAAAAAAGCTATCATTATTGTCCTACACTCAGATGCTATCTTTGGAGTTTTCTGAGTGAGTGGTATTTGATTTGATCAACTAATATGTTGATTCCATGAAATGTAATTAAGTCTCTTTTCCTAATTTAAGAGATTTGATCAATTCCTAAAATATTAAATTATGTTCCCTGGCTAAAGACTATTGCGACATACCATGCCATCTCTAACGTCAATCATTTATAATATATTTATTAGATTGTAGTGAATTGGTATGGAGAGATCTTTGCATAACGTGGTCAATGAAAAAAAAAAAAAAAGGTGTGAAATACTTAAATTTGAGCCCTATTACCTAATATATATATTAATGTAATGAAGCAAT